TAAATAAAATTTTATTATAATTTTATTTGATTGATTAAAATTACTAAATCAGTTGTTGGTCGAATCGTTTTCAAATAAAACATATTTAATATGAACCTCTGATTACATATTACATGAATCAAAAATACACAAATAATCTTAGATAGTATTTGAAATAAATACAGGATCAACTAGATCTGATAAGATTTTCATTCATTTGATAAGATTTACACAGGTGTACATTAAAAGTACTTTTCTACATAGTTCTATATGTGTTTATCTGATTACAGAAAGAATCATAACATATTATTTTTTACAGAAGGTGCAACTATTGAAGCCAAAGTCAAACATGATACTCCAAAGAAGACATTTTGAGGAATATGGCATTTGAGAAAGTTAGAAAAAAATTGAGGTAATAGAAGTAAAGAAACAATTAATGGAAATATTTTTTTACTATTAATTATAATCATGTAAAACTTCGAGTGAGTGAGTGACAACTTTAGAGTGGCTCAAATTAGTAGGGTACATTACAAACTTTTTTCCATCATCCATATCATTTCAAAAAAAAAGTGAAACTAGTGGGGTGTATGGCATCGTGCTTTAAGACAAATTGCTGGAACTTCCCGTACCGTAACGAAATGTTCGAGGAATTTTGAATGTTTTCAAATAGATTATTATCAATATTGTAACATTGTCTAATATTGATAAGAATTATATAAACTGTATTGCAAAGTTAAAATTATTTGTTTAAAGTATATCAGAACTTTAGTCAGAATTAAAAATAAAATCTGAATTATTTTCGATATACAAAAAAAAAATGATACATTTTTTTTCCCCAAAATCAATTATTTTGTTAAAACAAGCTGAAAGTTCTTTGAATCATTTAAATTAGACGCTTAGTTCTCTCAAAAACTGCCATTTTTTGTTCATTTAGCTCTGTATCTTCGAAATGGCTGGGCCTGCCAATGCCAAAAACTAATCACCTCTTCTCCCAATCATTACAAATTGAATGTTTTTTAGATCATTCAAATCCGATGCTCCGTTCACTCAAAAACTCGATTTCTATTTTCTGCACTCTTTGCTCTGTATCTCAGAAACGGCTGGACCTGCCTTTGCCAAAAACTAATCAGCTCTTTTCCCTGTCGATAGGAATCGAATGTTTTTTGAACCATTGAAATCGGTTGATCCGTGCGCCCGAAAACGTGACTGGAAATTTGTATCCATACATACATACACACACACACATCCATTTTTTCTGAGGTATGCCAAAATGTTCAAAAACCTTCAAAACGTCGAGAAATGTAAAAATTTTCAATTTCGATTTTCAGCCTATTACAATAACTTACCCTACGGGAAGTTAATAAACCGTGAAAGTGAATATTGAAGCAGCAAAGTTTTTAATAGTTTTTGCTTCTATTTTAACTAAGGGGCCGTTCAAGTATTACGTAAGCACTATAGGGGGCCGGGGGGTTGCTAAATTGCTTATTAACTTCCCGTAAGGTAAGTTATTGTAATGGGCCGAAAATCGGAATTGAAAATTTTTACATTTCTCGACGTTTTGAAGGTTTCTGAACGTTTTGGCATACCTCAGAAAAAATGGATGTGTGTGTGTGTGTGTGTGTGTGTGTGTGTGTGTGTATGTATGTATGGATACAAATTTCCAGTCACGTTTTAGGGCGCACGGATCAACCGATTTGAATGGTTCAAAAAACATTCGATTCCTATTGATAGGAAAAAGAGCTGATTAGTTTTTCGCAAAGGCAGGTCCAGTCGTTTCGGAGATACGGAGCAAAGAGTGCAGAAAATAGAAATCGAATTTTTGAGAGAACGGAGTATCCGATTTGAATGATCTAAAAAACATTCAATTAGTAATGATTGGGAGAAGTGTTTATTAGTTTTTGGCAAAGGCAGGCCCAGCCATTTTGAAGATACGGAGCTAAATATGTGAAAAATGGCAGTTTTTGAGAGAACTAAGCGTCCGATTTAAATGATTCAAAGAACTTTCTGCTTGTCTTAACAAAATAATCGATTTTGGAAAAAAAAATTTTGTCCCATTTTTTATTTTATTTTTTTTTTACTTTTTTTTTTAGTTTTTTGTATATCGAAAATATTTCAGATTTTATTTTTAATTCTGACTATAGTTCTAATATACTTTACAAATAATTTCAACTCTGCAATTCAGTTTATATAATTCTTATAAATATTAGACAATGTTACAATATTTATAATAATCTATTTGAAAACATTCAGTATTCCACGAACATTTCGTTACGGTACGGAAAGTTCCAGCAATTTGCCTTAAGGCACGATGCCATAATTGCCGCAAGACAGAATACCACTTACAGCTAGTTTTGGGTTGACATGGGGGCAGGGAATTCTGGATGATGATTACGTCATAGGTAGTATTTTTATTTTTGTACATTAATTGCAAAATGTTTACGTAAGCAAGTGGGTAGGGGGTAAAAGCTTTGCTTACTTTTGCTGACAAGGGGGATGGGGGGGGCCGTAAATAATTGTAATAATCTGCTTACGTAATACTTGAACGATCCCTAACATAAAATATAAGAAATTTTGAATAGACATAGATTTGATAGTTTATAAACTTATTGAAAATTTTGAAGCCTCGAAACTAACTTCCAAGCGATGATTTCATTGGCATATACAGTAAACCCTCGCTTTACGCGGCAAGTGGGTACCGTGCAGTATAGGAACCGTGCTATAAGAAACTCGTATTTAACATACAATTCAGGCTAATTCGTAGTGCGTTCTATGGAACCTTACATAGTGCAGTATGGGAACCGTGTTATGAGAGACTCAGAGTTGGTACAAATCGCACCATTTTTATCGCGTTGTATGGAGACCAAGAAATACAACTTGAAGTAGGAGAAATACGGACGAAATGACGTAAATGACGTGACGAAATTGACACCTTATTCAAAAATTGGCGCGACGCAGTAATCAGCTCAAACGTGTTCTTAGGCGGCTATTATACAATCAGGCATGTCTAAAAGATAAAAGTCGATAACAAAATTTACAACAATACCCTTTTGCACAACGAACTTATGGGCTGTTGACCAAATACCGTGTAATAAGAAGTCCGTGTAGTCGGAGGGATGTCGGATTTTTAGCTCCGTGTAGTATGGGAACCGTGTACCCAGAGTGCCGTGTAAAGCGAGGGCCTACTGTATATACATATATATATACTAGTTGATCCGGCAGACGTTGTCCTGTAGCCATGTCTATAACTCAAAATACTTTTATCATTATTATATTTTTTTTAGAACTATTCCGAGATTACGACGCAATGTAACTTTAAAAATGCTTTCTGCATTTCTTTATTTATTTAACCATTATAATTTACTATGTTAAGTACGTTGACGTACATTTAATAATTTCAATAATTATTCAACTTTCACTTTTTTAATGTATCTTGTTTATTATTATTTATAAAATTTCTTTAATATCTTTATTATCTTTTTTTAATAACAAACACATGAACAACGCACACTGATAGCCATAGATAAGTAAACATAGCTGATAGATACTCTTCTTTTATCTATGGCTGATAGCATAGATAAATCCATAGATAAAAGAAGAGTATATAGATCGCTCTCTCGGGCCATATTTCGTTGCCACATTCCTGTGTTAGTTGAAGCCCCGCGCTACAGATGGCACTAGTCGCCTGAACGGGTGCGTATAAAAAATACTATAGAAATGAACCAAAATTATATGGACCGTTTAATTCAAAATTTAAAAAAGAAAAATTGAAAAAAAAAAAAATTTTGAAGCATTTATTTTTCACAAAAACATTCTACATTATATCTACATAGTTCTCTTTATAAACAAAGCACACACATAGCATAAAAATGTACATAAATATACACATTATCCACAATGTATATATATATATATATATATATATATATATAACATTATATATGATTATAATAGATGGTAGTAAGCTGTAAAAACTATGTGCGAAAAGCATAAAAATGTACTTAAATGTACACGCTATCCACAATGTATATATATATATATACAAATATATATATATATATATATTATAATATACTAATATATATATACATATATATATAATATATATGTGTGTGTGTAATATCATTTTAGCATATCAGCCTTTCAAGCTGAGCACAAAAAGAATAGAAATGTACATGAATGTATATATTATTTATATATACATATACATATAAACCACAATTCTTTGATTGATATTGATTCAGATCAATATATAACCAATATATATATATATATATATATATATATATATATATATATTTACATATATATTTATTTTGATTAACATTAAGTTACATAATATCTATGATGTACAGTCTCTATTTGGGAATCTTTTCTGCGCTATTGTTAATGTGCATTCAAATGTTTGTTCAAAATGTCATTATTATCATTGTCTTAAGAAAAACAACAATCATTGATATTATTATAACAGTACTTAATAGTTTTCTTATAGCATCTACAATAAGACATTTTAGAGTAAAGCTATTGACATCTCTTTCAGAATAGTCAAATGCAATAAGCAAGTGCACATTAAGGGTGTTTTATCCCTTTGCTTTTTAGAATTTTATCATTAATCATGATTATACTTTGCCTGTCATTTGACAGTTCCTGAAAATCTATACAATGTGATTCCCTTTATCATCATTAAACAACACAGATAATAATATTTCTTGTAATATCAAAATGAAATTATTAATACTTAAAAACTTTTCCTGTGACATAGCCAAACCTAAATTAACCTTTGCACTAGCTAGAATTTCACCATTTATTGAGAATTTCCTTTCACTTACGATTATATCATTAGTGTTTTTAGTATGTTCTCCAAACTGACTTAATATATAATTACGAGTCGTACTGTTCAATATTAGTGGGAGATCAGCAAAGATTTCAGCACATTTCAGACTTCATTCTTATTGTTTTTTCCTGTGTATTCATTCATCTCATATCAATACTTGTACACTTGTGAATGTGTTTTATAACCGTCTAAACATTTTACATTTGAACGTATTTTCCTTTTATACTGCTGAAAAAATCGATGTAGAATTATTAGTTATGATCCTACATTATTAGAACAAGATTAATTTATATTTAGTTATTTAATAACATACCTTTCAGAGAGCTGACAGGAATTCTCTCTGTCTATTTATAACCTTAAAATTTCTAGTATTGATATAGTTAAATGTCTCAATTATTTCTGAATTATTAAACTGTAATGAAAAATCATATCAGAATAGTACAATCAAATGAAAGTAATTCGAAGTATGCATATTAATAAAAGTACTCACTTAGATTGAAAGCCGGCAAATATTATTACTTATTTTACTTTTACTTCGTCGTTTCTCGCTGGAACTACATAATACATGCATTTTTCTTGGTATTTCTTCTTCGTTAAACAATGCACTTCGACAGCTTATTTGTTTTTTACTCTAACAAGCATTTATTATATTGTCTAGGTTATCTCTCCATGAAAAATTTATTACAATGGACGCCATGTTTAATTTAAGTATCTGTCATATGTCAAATTCGATTTCAAAGTGAAAAAAAAATAAAAAAAAAAAAACAAGCGCGACCGGCGGCAGGGGCTCTAACTAAACTCGGGTTACAGACGTTTGTTCCGAGATTACCGCCATGA